GTAATTTGAGCCTATATAATTTCATTGTCTATTCATTGTAAATACATATAGATTTTTAAGAAAATAAAGAAAGAGTTTTCTCACTTTTGAAGATTAAGTTTTGTTTGCTTGTCTTTTTTATAATGTGTGATTTCCTTAGAAAGCAAGTGAGATCTTTGTCTTTATGTGTGATTCACATAGACATTGATTTGTGTTCTTATCATAAAGTCGTGCTGCAATTTTGTGTGGCGAATTTCGATCCATTCAAACCGTAGGCCTTGAAACCGTGCGATCAATAAGTTTGATGGGATTCTAATATTTTATCATATGGTATCATCTCTAAAAGCTCATTTCATCTATTTTTTTATCTTCAGTTTTGATGTTTTTCTTCATTCCATTTTAAAATCAAAAACCAAATTTTTTTTTTTTGTTCTTTGATTTTATAAATTAAGAAAACCCCGTAAAAATAGTTTTTCTCTATTTTTCTTAAATTTTTATCCTTTTTTCATTGACCGAAATAAATAAATAAATAAATTTTCATTTGGTTTTTGATTTTTTTATTTTAGAAATAAAAATAAAACGTCCATAATATCTTCTTTTTTTTTTTTAAAGAAAAAACAAAATTCTTATTTATTTCAAAATTTCTTTTAAAGGAAAAATAACTATATTTGTTTTTCTAAAAATCAATATGTGGTTGATGGTGTCGGGTTTAGCATCTACCTAAAGACTTGACCTACATCTAAACCAATACGGCAAATTACTAGGATAGGTACACAAGTTTGACCCATGAAGACAAGTTTGGCCCATGAAACGAGTTTGGACCAACCCCACGACGTTCAACAGACCTAGCTATTTCTAGGGAAATAGGAAAATATTGAAAAATGAAAAATTGTTTTGAATTAGAAGATTTTTCCATATTTCAATACGGTTTAATCGACCAACTCAGACTAGTATAAATATGCAATATATTTTACCTTTAAAGGGATCCAAAATTCAATTAACACACATGGTTTTTCGCAAATTATGTTCATCTTCGGTCAGTCATTATTCTTAGAAATCTAGTCTCTCATCTTGTTTGGAGGAACTGACAGTATCCAGATTGACCCGTGGTTGATAAAATATGATTTTATGGTTAATGAAAGATTCATCGTATTTCTCTTATCCAAAAAGAATAAACTCCAACAGTTTCTAGCTAGTCCAGAAAAATCATGCAACCGTGTACATATATTCTTTTAAAAACTCATAGCGAATCTCCAAGCCATGTATAAGAGAAACAATAGTTTAAAATGTAGACAAGTGTGTGCGAGTGTGTGACAAGTAATTAATAAATGCAAAGACAAATATTTTGACTTTGATTGCTATTTCAGAAACTCACGGACTTCCCTACTTCGTCTGATCCCCGACCCCATCAACACTTTTTTTTTGCTTTTTCTTTCTGTATCGTATTTTGATAAATAAAATTAAAATCTCTCTTCTTTTTAACTAAAGAAAATCTCCCAAGTGCCAGCCATTTTGCCTCTGTCATCTCCTACTTACTCTCTTCTCTTTTGATTCCAGCCATCGATCACGAGCCCATTTATGAACCCTAACCCTAAACCCATGTATATCTCTCCTCTCCCACTTATATATCCCTCACATCATAATACCAAACTCTCTCAAGAAACAAAAATAAAACCCAATGTTCAACACAAGATTTCATATTGTCATCATCACTCTAACCATTATATTTCTAAGCGCCACAGGCCGTTTGATACCACCCGATAGCGTTCCAAGCACGTCTATGAAGCCTTTATCAGTCGATGAAACAGTCAAATTGAATCCCAGGAATCAGATTTTCCGTGGGACGGAAGTGAAGAGTTGTATGCCTAAGGGGTTCAGACCTAGATCAGCTCCGAGCCGGTTTGTAAATTATCAGCCTCTTGTTTCCGCTAAGTGTTCATCATCCACCTTCCGATCCAAGATAACGCCTTGATTAATTTTATTTTCTATTGAAATTTGAAGTATGCAAATAAGAATGATGTTCTGATTCTTTTGGTGTGGATAGTTATGAAGAAGAATATGTCACGCAAGTATGTGTTATTTTCTATCTTTTTTATTCATGGAATCAAGATAATGTTCTTGTTAATTTGTTACCACGACTTCTTGAACGGGAAATTTAACTCTTTCTAACGTTCTTTCTCCAAAAAAAAAACATATGTAGAATTTTGGAATTTCTTTAAATATGTTAGAAAAATTAACAATTATTTTTCTACCGACCGCATAACTCGGTGCCAAATTTTGGAATATTTTTGTGTGGTTAACCCGAATATTCTGACATTCTGGTATGTAATATTTTGGAACTGTGGGAACTGTAAGATGTTAAATTAGTCATCTTCCACCGCCAAACTTGAACTTGTGATTTTCAGAAAGTTTTCCTTTGGAAGTCCCTAAGAAACCAATTAAATTGCTGATGCTAGATGAGTCGGAATAGAAAGCTTTACTCTAGTGGTTTACCAAAATTCAATAATAGTTCTAAATCACAGGATATGAAATTCGAGATTTGGAAAATGTACATATTAACGAAGATAAAATTTACATAAAATTTTATACATTGTGCAAATAGAGTCATTTTCCACCATAATATATGTCAAAGTTAAATTTGTACATGGTAAAATTGTCCATATAATTATTTTCATTATATA